TTGTAACAGGGGCAAACTGTAGGCCATCCAGTTCTTTAACTATGCCATTAATATAAAAGTTAAGCAGAAAGGGCACCAAAATGCATCCTTGTTTAACTCCGGTAATAGTCTTTATTCTAGTAGTGAGATGGCCAGGTCCACTTTTACTTATATCGATGTATCAGTATATAATGTTTTGATGAGAAATAATAAGCGACAATCTATATTTGTCTTTTCCAATTTCTGCCACAATGCATGTCTAGGGACTGTATCGAAAGCTGACTTTAGATCGATAAAAGCTTCAAATTATTTGCTTCAAATTATGGATGTATTTACATAACAAAAAGTCCATCACAAAGCACTGGTCCAATGTGGATCTCCCTCTTTGGAAACCTGCCTGGACTTCAGATATCACCTTATTTGTATCTGCCCATTCTTCCAGTCTCCCAAGAAGGAGCCTGGCATATAGTTTAGAAGCTACATCTAACAAACTAATGGGTCTATAATTGTCAGGATTTTTCTTGTCACCCTTTTTATATATTGGGGCAATTATACTCAGCTTCCACCCTTCCGATATGCGGCCTGAGCTGTTTATGTATGTAAGATGGGTGACCAGAAATCCGGTCTTATCTTATAGATCTCCATTGGGATCGTGTCCTCTCCTGGAGCTTTATTGGCTAGTTGGTTTACGATTAGCCTCTTAATCTGATGGGGTGTGACGTCTGGCCATTCTGGCAGTTCTAATAACTGAGTATAGTAAACTTGTGAGGGTGAGTCAGAATGAGGGCCATATATTCTTGTAAAATATGTCACCCAATCCTTTTCTTGGACAGATGCTTCTAACGAGTAGCCTAGCCCATTTGTACCTTGGGCAACCAGATGCCAAAATTTCTGTGAGTCTTTTTGAAGTGCTACATCTCCCAGTGCTTTTCACTGTTGCTCATAATATATTTGTTTCTTACTTTTAAGAAATAGTTTATAATTGTATCGTAATTGTGCTACCTCAGCTTGCAGAGCAAGATTGTGCTTATCATGTTTTAACTTTGATTTTCTAAGTTCCCTAGACAGACGTTTTTTACTATTCTGACTTTCCTTATCGAACCATGTCTGTCTTTTGAACTTTTTATTTTTGATCACACTGGTTGTGGTCATCAGTGGGCGCATTTGGTTAATTATATTCTCACAGAGTCCGATTACATTTCCTGTTTCTAACAACATTTCCCTCTTTAATAAAGCAAACTCATGAGAATCCAGGATCTGGATCATTTTTTCCTGGAACTGTGCATTCCATTTTAACCGTCTATCTCCAAGTATCAGATATTCCGTTTCATCCAATATTTTAGGGAAAGCGGGAGAAACAAATGGCTCAAGAGATAACTCAAGTGGAAAGTGGTCACTTTCAGCTCTGGGGATTATTCTAACAGTGTCCCAATTAACTGGCACATTATTAGATGTTAGGATATAATGTATGGTGCTTGTAAATCCACTGGGGGAAATAAAAGTAAAATACTCCTCCTGATCCCCTTGTCTGTGCCCATTACATAACAAAAGATTGTGCTTAATTATAAGTTCACAGAGTTATTTTCCAGCACGGTTAGAGGTGGTGTCCATTGCTGTCCTCTGGCAGATTTCGGGTTCGTCCTCCAAGTTTAGTCCAAATAATATTATATTTTGTGGGGAGACAAGGCCAATCCGGGCATTGAAGTCGTCCCCCGAGACAAACCGAGGGTTGGGCGACAAAGAGTCTATACTTTCAAGTAGTTGGTCAAGTCTTTCCCAATATGAACTCAGTTCCCCACAGGACTTTACTGGGGGAATATACACACAAACCAAATACATTAAGTATTTCTCAGAAGACTATTGGAGAGGGACAATGCTAAAAAATTAGGGGAGGTCAGTGAGGGGTACAGTTGAATTGTTACATTAAGAGATGTTGACACCAGCCCCCCCAGCCCCCCGCTAGGCCTTCCGTACTTTGCAGTTTTAAGTGCTGGTTGGGTTTAACTTTTAAAACCCTGTAATTCAACCATAGTACCTTCTTTTGCCCAGGTTTCTTCCAGGAAAATGATATCATGTGTTTGTAAATAGGAACAGAAATTGCTGTCTTGAATCTTGTTCAGCCACCCTGTTACATTCCATGATAGAAGTTTGATTGTTTTATAGTGATTTCGTCTTAGTAAATTGCTGGTCATTGTGCTTTTAGAGTTTGCCAATTTTTGAGGCAACAGGGTATCATTTATACTAGTAGTGTGATCCAGATGTTCAATAATTTCAGTCGTTGGGCATGAAGTGCTCACATTTGTGTTCACTGGACCTTTACTTTGCAAATTACTCACCAGCGGAGATTCCTTAAGTGTAGTTCCTAACTCGTCCTCATCTAAATGTCTCATCTTTGTCCAGAACTCGGGTGGTTCCGTAGATATCAAGCAGTTATGGACACTGGGTCTGTTGTCAGTCTCTACCTCTGATTCTTTGTTCTCTTTCAATGTCTGGCTCATAAGGTCAAGCCTCTTGATAACTGTTTGTTGCTTTTCCTGAGAGAGGTTCCTAAAGGAGCTGAGCAAATCATCTTCCAAGGGATAATACTGATGTTGAGCATGATTCTGTGGATTCAACTCAGGCATGTCTGTTTCCTCCCGGCTTATCAAGTTTGTTTGCGATGTCATTACTACCATTGGAGATCCAGGCTTTGGTTTTGTGGGTCGCTCTGTAGCCCTAGTCCTCATCTTGCATAAGGGCATGACAATAGAATTGAGAAATACCCAGGCTGGAAAAACTCCTCTGCTTGACCACCTATGTTTCAACTTGTGGATCAGTAAAGGCAGTCTGGTAGAGGAAAAAGTTAATATGATTTTTTGGAATTGGTTTGTGGTATTCAGGGATTCAGTCCCAACTAGATTGATCTCTGTAAGTCCAATTCCAAGTAAGTCTGATAGATGTTGTTTGGCATGCTGGGCACCTTTCCAGTTAGGAGCTTGATCTGAACTTCCACAGATTGTCATGCAGATCTTTTTTGGTTGAAAGATTAGATGAGAAGAGTTGCTTTTAAGTACCGTATTTTTCACTCCATAGGGCGCACCGGACCATAGGGTGCACCTAGTTTTTAGGGGGGGTAATTAAGAAAAAAAATTATTCCCCCACCTCCAGCCCCAAAGAGCAAAGAAGCCAAGACAGCCAGCGGGATCCATCTTTCGCCACGCACAACCTCTCCAGCCGGGAGAGGCTGCATGCGGCTTTGGCAGAAGCCAAGACAGCTAATGGGATGGATCCTGCTCGCTGTCTTGGCTTCGTTTTTAGCTGCGGGGCTGGGGTGGGGGAAGCTCGAGCTTCCCCCCGACCCCAGCCCCCGGAACGGGTCCAGGAGCAGCGGCGAGGTTGTGCTCAACCTCGCCTTCGCTCCTGGAGCTTGCCGGACTGGGGGCGGGGGAAGCCCAAGCTTCCCATGACCCCAGACCCCAGAATGGGTCCAGGAGCTTCGCTCCCGGAGCTTGCTGCTATCCGCAAGCCTTCTGAGGCCAGCGGGAACTCCTGCTGGGCTCCGAAGGCTTGCGGATAGCTGCCCGAAGCGTGGAGAGCGAGAGGGCTCGGTGCGCACCGACCCCTCTCGCTCTCCAGGCTTCAGCGAAAGCCTGCATTCGCTCCATAGGACGCACACACATTTCCCCTTCATTTTTGGAGGGGAAAAAGTGCATCCTATAGAGAGAAAAATATGGGACCTCTACACATTCTGTGTTGAGCTTAGGGTTCTGCTCTTGTTGACGCCATTTCACTTTGGTGCTTTGGTGGTCTAGTGGTACCTGCTTATTATTAACAGATAATCTATGGACCTCTTTGGATAATTGAGTTATTTGGGAGGCAATACCTCGAATTTGTTGGAAGATGTGTTCAACTGTTCTTGCAATTAAAGTTAATTGGGTGCTCTCCCTACTTGTTATTTCTTCCTCTATTTGAAGCTCAGAGTCAGCTTGCCCCATCGCTGAATCTAGTTCTGCACCCCCACTCCGAGCATTCTCCTCACATTCACAATCAACTTCAAGAGGGGAAAACTGGCTTTTTGTTGAAACTGTAAAAACAGATTTGTTAAAGAAGTCCTCCATTTTTGATTGAGAGCTGATGAAAGGACTGCCTCTTCTGTATCCCTGTAGCGTTTACAAGCAGGCATAATAATGCGGTGATGAGTAAACAAAGAGAGGATTCCTTAGCAGGAAAGGAAAGGAAAAAAGTGTGCAGTTTATTCTGTTGAAGAGCTTCTCTGTGTAATGACTGCCAGGAAGTCAAAAAACAAGGGGAGCTGGCAATTAACCTGCCCAGGATGCTTCTCACAGTGCTTGCCCAGAGTGTTTCGTATAACATAGATAAGAAAGTGCTGATAAGTTCTCAGTGAATTGATAAGTTTAAAAGTGGAAAAGGGAAAATCACTTCTCTGAGCAGCAATTAAAGTCAATTAGAGTCCTCCGGAGCTCTGAAGCCTGTTTTCTGAACCGATGCATCTTTTCAGAAGTCCACCCAATAGCACATCTCCATTTTCTCCATGCAGAGGTGTTTTGCAGCTTGCTTGTTCTCCCTCTTGCTTTAAAGATAGCTGAAGAAATTTTTTGTATTATTTTTAACCTTCTTGCAAAGCAGCTTTTGATTATTATTTTTTAAGTGTTGATTAAATGATAAGAAATCAAATTTGTATTGACCATGCATCTCTGCTTAAAATGGCCATTTGCAGATTCTCTACTGGATTTCTGGAATATTGAATTAAGCATGGTGTCGCTGTCTGTTTTTATGTTTTACATCAGCCTTTGACAACCTGTTGTTCTCCAGATGTTTCCAGACTACAACACTCATCAGACCCAGGGCTGCTGAGAGATGTATTCCAAAAGATCTTGAGTGCAACTGGTTTGTGAAAATGACTTTACAAAAAAAAAAAAGCTGAATTCGTGCATCTGCAACACAGTGTTCTGTAATCTTTGCTTTCAGTTGCAAATGACAGAAGAAGCCCTCCGTGGCAGGTCCACCAACAGTCTGCATGGCTTCATCCTGCCCTCATTGTACATGCTGTGTGTATTTGTTTTGTGTACACAGCGCATGCAATGTGGACAGGATGGAGGTCACAATCCACCGGAGACAAGATGTGGGAGTCAGGAATGGCTTGGCGGGGAACCATTATGTTGCTCCCTTGTTTAAAACTAAGCAGGTCTTGCTTGGGCCATTGTGGCATGCCCCCACCTTTGCATCTCCCCAAGGAAGAGGGCGTAAGAAGAATAGTAAATAAAAGAGAATGGCTCCCTTGGAATATGTGGACCCTGTGATCAACATTCTTAAAAACCATTTCCTTTGAATCAGCCAGACTGATTGCATATGTGTGAAGTGGATGGAGCAGGGGGAGGGGATGTTCCACAGTATTTCCTGTGCTCTTTTTCAGATCAAAATTGCCCCCAGGTCCCCTTCACCTACACAGAGTTTCCCAAACTTGGGTCTGTAACGGTTTTTGGACTACAATTCCCATAATCCTTGATCACTGGTCCTACTAGCTAGGGATGATGGGAGTTAAAAACAGCTGGAGACCCAAGGTTGGGAAATCTGGTTGCTGCTTTTAGGCAAAGAAAATCATCTCAAGAGTTCCATTCACTTTCTTCCACATCTAGCCAGTCCTTCCTTAAGCTATGCAATGGCAGGGATGGTTTTAAGCGGGTCTCAGAAAGTGACTTTGGTTCTGATGGGTAGTTTTGAGAGGTGGGTTCTGACTGGTTTTCTATGGAAAGAGCTTTGCTGCTTTCACTTTTCTGGTGTCACTACAGATGGTGCAACCGAAAAGCTACAAGCTCTGCAACTGAGGGGCACATTTTATTTTGCTCTCTGCTGCCTATTTGTAACATGTTGGGTCTCTGCATGTTAATGTTGGGGAGATAAGTGAGGAATAAGATGACACAACTCAGTAACCCAAGGCAGACGTTCTTGGCTCACATGAACTATGAGAGGAGAGGGGGGCACTTTTACCGGTCAGCTGATTCTGCCCATCCCCACTCACATATTATTTGTTGGGATGGGGAGGTCTGAAGCTGGGATGGACAAATCTGTTAACTTTGGCTTCTCTCAGTTTCTAATTTTTCCAAGTTCAGTTGTCCACATTTCCACATCAACTTGCATTTGAAAGAAAAAGGAATACAGAGCCTGATGAAAACCCATCAGCACTTCACTGTGAATTTCCCCTGATATATGAAAGTTTGAACTCAGCTTTGTCTATTATACACATTTTTACAAAGCAATTTCCTGCAACTGAATGAACATAACTTGAACTGGAGAACTACACTGAAAAATGCAGGGGAGCATGAATTCTGAAGAATAGCTGTGTTTCAGTTCCTGCTGTGCTTTGGAAAGTGCAAAATAGGCAGGTTCACTTTTAAATGGGAGCTGAATCTAATTACCCCCTCCCATGAAGATTGTTTGACATGTGGCAGTGCAGGAAACCTAGATTAGAGATGTTGGAGAATTCCAGTGGAAAGAGGAGTAGGAACTTCCAATTCTCGCTGGTTTGTCTCATGCCTGGAACAGAAATCATTTCAACAAATCAGTATTTGCTGTTCCTTTCTGTCCACAAAAGATAAGTAACTGATCCTCACCCACATTTGTGCTGCATTTTCTTTCTACTGAAATGTACAGGGTGTAATAATCTGATGAGAGTGCATTCTGTATAACTAATTATGTACTTCATGTAATTTTGCCGCAGTGTCTGCTGGACACTGAGGGGAAGGTGAACTGTAATGGAATGGAAACAGATCTGCGTGCAATGAAGGCAGGGCAGAATAGGAAACAATAATTTCTTACATCTCTAACCTAGATACACAGGGCAGAGGCTCCCTGCTTCTTCCCTTCTCCATAACATGCGGATTGCGGTGAGCCTGGGACAGCAGTGTTAGAAATGAGCTGGAGGATGCAGACCCCCAAAACTGGATCAGATGTACAGTACAGCATGCTCTGTATCTTTCAACTTATAGCCCCCTTTATAGGTAAGAAGGGAGCCCTGGTGCTTTCCCCATTGAGTGCCAAAAGACAGTCCACGCAGGAACACTGAAAGATTTGCCTCCATGCGGACAATTTTTCTCCTCTCTGAGTCTTTTAATGCCAAAACGGTATGCTGAGCTGAATCCTCCTGCAGGGACGATTGATTTTTCTCCCCCTCCCATTCCCCCCCCCCCCCGCTTTCTGTTCAGAATAGAGTGTGATTCTCTAATGGGCTACAAGGTGTTGGATTCAATAACATGATGAGGAATGGATATTAGAAAGAGAGAAAAAGATGAGCCTTGTTTCTCTCTAGTTGCTGGAACTAGGTCCCACTTGCACTGAATTTTGCCCCAAGGATGTTGCATTTCATGGCAATTTCACTGACCTGTTACAGCTCCCCCCCCCCCAATCTTCTAAAAGGCATTGAAGTTCTTCATGCCTGGTAACTGCAGGTGCACCGAAATGAGCAGTGAATTGTTTGCTCCCCACCGTGCAGGCAGAGCCTGGAAAGTACAGTGGGGGGTGGGGCAGGGCAGAATTGACTGCAGAAAGAAACTCCTGCTGTTTCAATGGGTAGCTTCAAATACATTCATACATGCCAGGAATTAGTTCTCTGGCTGAGTGCCATGTTAATGGAGCCCCTTTACCGTCAACAGTCCTGGGGACGGAATAAATAAATAAATAATCTGGTTTTCTTAAAGAATGGTTTTTCTCCTCTTGATGCGGGAGAAATCCCCTCACATGTTAATGGAAATGTGCCAAATCCACTCTTTGAAATGATATGTAAATTGAAACATGGCTATCCTCTGGAATTCTGACATCTTTGAATTTTGCAATGCAGCTTCACAACAACAACAAGAAGAAGTACCAGATAGATAGAGATCGATATTAGAGAAAATTGCATGCAACATAATGTGTGCGTTTATATATTTTGTTTCAACCATTTATATACTGCTTCATCATCTCCATAATCGTTACGTTAGAAGAAACGAACAAGCACTTAGCAAGATACAAAGCATTTGGCGGTGGCAGGAGGAGGCCAATTCATTTACAAAACATATACATATACAAATAGGATACAATAAGCAGCAAGTGAGTGTTGTTGCATAAACTTCAGCCATGTCCCCATTTACCAGGCACAATCCTTCTTATTTTCTAGAGATGATTTGGTCACTGACTTGAGAAATGAGCATGACTGTGAGGATTCATATCCCATTCAAGTCGTTGACCTCTCCCAAATAATCATGGGAACGGTAGCTTTTTATTGTTATTGTTGTTATTGGTTTCTATTGATTTATTGGTTTGTTTGTTGCTTGTATAGGATATTCTGTTTTTTAATGCTTGATGTTTTGTTGTGTTTTATGTATGTTGTAAGCCGCCCAGAGTGACTGAGGAAACCCAGCCTGATAGGCGGGATATAAATCATTTAGTTTGTTAAGGGTGCTGGGAATTGTGGCTCCCTGAAAGGCAAACTGCAGTTCCCAGGATTCTTTGAGGATTTGAAGAAGCCATGTATTGTAAATGTGCTTTAAATGTATTTGTGTGTGTGTACACAGCGTCCGTCTCTTAGCTGCTGGTCTATAGCAGTTCTGCAAAGCAGCCTCATTCTCATGTCGGTGAACCAAACAATAGCTTAGCAAGACCAGGCGGATACGCAGGTTCATGGGCAGTTGCTCACAGCCACTTTGACTTCACTCCAGTGCCCAACTGAGCTACATCAAGACTTGGCTTAGTGTGCCATCCAATTCATTACTCACAGTTAAGCTCTCTCCTCATCGACCACAAACTGTAGCCAGAACAAACCTTACAGTAAGTTTGGCCTGCCATATCATACAAACAAGCCCAGTGATGTTTTTGCTTCTCTGCTGAACCTGCAAACATTGTGTGGTTTGCACACAGTCACCTGTAGCTAACCAATGAGCTGAAAGGTATGCTCAGGGTGCCAGCCAGATTGGGCACCTAGGTAACAATCCTCCAATGTGGAGTGCTGTTTTGGAGGGGTGGGTGGCCGATCCCCATTCTGTTCTGATTGTTCTAATGCAAATGGAAAAAACAAATGCTGTTCCTGCTTGTCTAGAACATGCTATCAGAAGCTTTTCCATTCCAGGGCTCGATCTGAAGACAGAAGTGATTGTGGAATATCCCCCACCCTCCAGCTGAATAATTCTCCTGCTCAAATGATAGCACAGCTGCTCAGGATTTGAACCAATATGTCAGGGGATTGAAAGCTTTATCCAAAGGCATGGGGAAATGGGATTCATTTCTGAGGTACTGCTCTATTCAGAAACGTTTTCCTTCCAACGATTTTGGTGGAGTTCAAGAGCGGAGTGCAGGTCTCCTCTTTCAGTAGGTTAAAACAGTGTTGCGAACCCCCTAATTTGATGGACAGGGTAGCTAGGCAGAGGCCTTTCCTCAATTCATAACGAAAAACAAACAAGATGACTGAAAATCTTGGAGCAAGCCTGAGGCACCAAATTATTTTTCTCTTGGATTTACAGAGAGGAAGAAGGGAGGTGGGACACTGCCTTGTAAAATAAAATCCTTGAATGACTGAACGGATGAAATTCCCAGCCGGTCTGGTTTTAATTTGAACAATGTTCTGTTGCCTGATTTGGGAGGAATATCAATTAGAGCTGTGTGCAGGTGGGGATCCCAGAGCATGAATTAAAATCAAGAGCTTTCATGCGAACCATTGTAGCAAGCTCATTGTGACATCGTAGTGCAGCTCTAGACAGCTGCTAGGAGGGAGCAGCCCTGTCAGCTGCCCTTGCAGCTCCTGATTCAGGCTGTGCACTTTGCCAACACCTGTTTTCTTTGGGAAAATGGCAATTAAATTGTAATAATAATAAGCAGCAATCAGTATTAAAACATGCCCTATATCAGGGGTCACCAACACAGTGCCTGCGAGCACCAGTATCTCAGCTGATGCCTGTGAAAAGTTTCAGTAAATATACACAATGCATGAGGGACAGTTTGCTGTCTGCACTGCTGTAGCCTCTCCTGCATGGCCCCATGACAGCCATTTTGTGACTGGTGCCCACGGCACTTGATCAAAATTCCAGAAACGCCCATTGGCTGAAAAATGCTGATGACACCCACCGTAAA